ACACACACACACACACACACACACACACACACACACACACACACAAGCGCTCGCACGCGTTCACAAGCGCGCACGCACGCACGCTCACGGACACACGCGCTCACAAGCACGCGCGCACGCACGCACGCTCACGGACACACGCGCTCACAAGCACGCGCGCACGCACGCTCACGGACACACGCGCGCTTTCGAGATCTCGTCTTTTCGTCAGGTTTCACATTCGATCTCTGTTATTGCGAATCAGGATGAATAGACGTGTTTTCGCAAGCTCGCGATTTTTCTATGGCGTGGAATTCTATATAGACATACCTAGATATTCTACATATTCTACATAGTGTATACCTATCGTTTATTAAGTATGCGACACACACACACACACACAAACACACACACACACACACACACCACACACACACACACACACACACACACACACACACACNTGCGCGTCCATACATGTTCCGTCCATCCATCCATCCATCCACCTATCTATTTATCTATCTATATATCTACATACCTATCTAACTATCTATATATTCATCTATCTATCTCTATATAACATATAACATCTAACGTAAAAAATACAAGCATGATATAATTTAATATATTAATCTCGTATTAGTTTATAGCACACCGTGAGCGTCTAGCATATAATTAACCAGTAATTAAACATCATTAAAATGGATTCTGACATGTGGATTCTAAGACTAGTTTCTGCGTCTATGAAAAAAACTGAAGGAAGCTATAGCTCGGTTAGTATGTTAAGTTACAGTTAGTGTTATTGATAGACATAGGGATGGGGCTAATGCTAGGGATGGGGATATGGATAGGGATGGGGCCAAGGATAGGGATGGGGTTATGGATAGAGATGGGGCTAAGGATAGGGATGGGGTTAGGCCCTACCCGTTAGGGATGGGGATAGTGTTCTGGATAAAGATCGGGTTAGAGATGGGGATCGGTAAGGATTAGGCTTCGAGTTAGGGTTAGTGCCAATGCGGCACATTGACTGGAAGGTATGTGCTTTCTAAATTAAAAACGGAATTTCGACAAACTACCATCTCATTTATTTGGTGACGGATGCGACTACAGCTGCGCATGTCATGTAGTAATGTAGGCGCGCCGCACGTTCGTGGCGACCAAGGAGCTAAATATAGGTGTTGCTATACAGTAGAGGCCGTCCATAGGCTGCAGGCCTG